CTGCAAAGACTTGAATTAATTGGTCGTAATGCAGGACAATTGTGTATCAAGCCGCCGACGGATGGTCAAACATGGAGCCCAATAGCCCCTAGCGGGTACTATTGTCAGCGCGTAGTTGTCAGCCTATGCGCATCAGCACATCAACGTATCCCAGCTTGCTAATCGGCTACAATATGACACAGCGGGTAGCGCGCAGGATGATGGCTGAGGCTGGAGTTACGCCTGTCGAGATCAATATCTACGAGCTACACGACTGCTGCTCAACGAACAAATTGACCCTGCTGATGCGCTTGAGTTTGTCTCCAGGAAGGATTACAGGTTGACCCCTCTGGTGATTTGAAGGGTCACCCTTTGGGACGACGGGGCTCGAGAAAGACCGGGAATTGACGTAGCAGCTGCGAGGTTGGGCAAATGATGGACGGCTTGGCGAAAACTGTCGTTTCTCATTGCAGAATAACTTCGGCTTAGGGCCGCGCTTGTGGTCACAGTCTATCAGCGAGCGGGTGGGAGGACCGACGAACGTGCTTTCGATGAGGAGGCCGCTAAGCTATCGGGATCAAGTCCCAACCTGGCGTTTGCAGCGCGATCTGCGGCGCTACGGCAGGAGAGTGCGCTAGGAGGGAGGCAAGCGAGACAATGTGTAGTGAGTATGTACTGTAAGATACTGTGGGAAACTGGCAGCCAAAATATACAGGGTGAGACACGGCAGAACAAGAGATGTCAAGGTTTCATGATCACTAATGAGTATGCAAGAGTTTTGGCAGGTGGTATCACATCAATGATGATTTGATAACTTGCAGAAGCACAGAGAGCTGAGATCGACATAGAAATACATTTTGACCTTTTTATAGCAGCCTCACAGACATATGTCTGCCTCGAGTACCACTATTCCTTCCGTTTCTTTTCAAGAGTATCAGTCCCGTGTAGCCAATCTAAAAGGCCGATGGAACCATAGTTCAAGTTGAACTTCTCATGATGCAAGTCGTGCATTTTCGCCTTGTTTTTGAAGAAATCGTACCCACTGTGTACAGTCGCGGTGTTCACGAGCTCGTAAGCCAGGAAAGCCCAGAAGGTAAGGATATGACTCCTGAGAATTTGCGGTGGCAAAGTAATTGGAAGCGTATTGGCCACAATGTGTTCGATGGGATGGGCATACTGCGCTGCCAGTGCGATGGGTGCTGTGAACTTATGATGCCGCTTGTGGATTCTGGTGTAGAAGAACGGACGGTGAAGGAATCGGTGACTGTAATAGAAGAGCGCCTCTCTCAGAAGGATGCTCAGAATGAAGTCACGAAGGAATTCGGCTAGGGGTGGCAACGAGGCTTGGATGCGAAACGCTGAAGTCCCTCGTTGGAGAACAAAAATTTGGAAAAGATGCAGGCCCATAGACAGCACTGAGTTCTGCAGCACTACCACGAAGCATTGCCAGATATCACGTCGGCTAGGCTGTCTGGGTGCTGGTTGCAATTTGTGCCGTTGCGAGAAGGATGGGAACCAGGCGTCTAAGGCGAGGTAGCAGAGAGAAGGAAGCCAAAAGGAGAGGACTTGACCCAGAACTGTGCCCGCAAATTCGATTGCCTGCGGAGGATACGAGGCGACAATTTCTTTCCACATGCTTTCCATATTGAAAATTTCGAGGGTAATGTTTCCGTTGGTAAACAGAACCGACTCCGGGAAGCTTGTGGCAAATGGAAGGACGTAGTGAGGGTCTGGGTTGATGAGAGAGATACCTCGACAAGTTCTATCTATAATGCATGGTTTATATCACATCTGTGAATGTAACATCATATGAGAATTTGGAGATGTCAAGGTGTTGCCTCGGTAAGCTTCAACATCAGATGGAAAGATCCACCCTGATCCCCGCACATCTGGGGTGCCTGCGATAGCCGAACACGATCAACAACCCGCATCGAACCACCCCCAATAAACACAATAGATACCAATGAGTTTGTCTGCACCTGCAGACAACACGCCAGTCTGCCACTTTATACACACTGCAATTTTTGAGTCAAAAGGACATGCTGGCCAGGCGTTCATGGAAAGAAAGTGCCTGCGCGTGTTCGTGCTGCTCCTTGACAGCAGCTTCCATATGCAGGTAGCTCTGCTCTTTCCATAGCTACTGTTGCAAAATGTCCTCTATACCTCCCCCCCAACAAAAGGCTGGAATTATTCCTCAATCACTCCAACACTGCTCGCGCTTTGAAAGACAAACTGCTTTACAGCTTATCCTCCAAAGTCATCTTTTCAAGAACCTCGCATTTAAAAGATAACAATCGATAAAAGGTATGCCGTCGAGTTGCCTGGCGAACGGAGACTTCTGACCGTTACTCGCAGATGCATCTTATTGCTTTCACGTTCAGCTGCCTTATGCTGGTGGTCAGCGCCAGGGCCCAATATGAAAAGCTATTCACAAGCGGGCCAGCTTTTGCCAACTTCCCGTACCCCACGATTCCACTCAATTGTTCCGAGATTGGCCCATCAGGCTCGCCTCTGGGTGTTGACCACATGAAAGAGGGAGCAGGATTCTTTCCGGCTCTGGAGTGGCCTTCTCCCGCCGGAAATATCCGGGAATACCTTCTTGTGGCCGAGGACCCTGATGCTCCTCTTCCCCATTCGGTCGTCCACGGGCTATACTACGGAATCCCACGCGTTTTCACCGGGCTCGAGCACAACGACTTCCAAGTGAGCAGAACGCACAATGACTCATATATGCTCGAAGGCGGATTCAAGTACGGGCAGAACAGAGGCAATACTGTGTATCTTCCGCCCAAGTCAATCCCGGAAGACGGTCCCCATCGTTATTTCTTTGAGCTCATTGCACTGAGTGCACCGATCGATCGAAGCAGGCTGAGGGACAGGGCGACCCTGAGGGAGATTGCCGATGCCATCTATGGCAGGGTTGTCGGATGGGGAGCCTGGGTGGGCATAGTCAACAATAACCGTATTTCGATTGTGAGGAATGGTTCATAGAGTGTCTGGTTTGGCTGAGGTTTGAGATTTCCGGAGGACATGCTCCTTTATTGAATATTGGCAGTGACAGCACATAGTACTGTCTGAGCCCTTGAGGCCGTTCTATGGTTGTCTGCTTTCTATTTCTTTTTTTTTTTCTTTTTGTCAACTCATGTTCTATTGTTAGACCAATCAATCCAAAAGTCTAGCAACATCGAGGACCTTACAATTGTCAGCTGCGTACTATTGTTCAAAAGTCGATGAGTTCAAGACTCACATTAGAGTGCTCTCGTCTATTGGATCAACCTCATAATAGTGCTACCAGATTTGTGCCCTAGACTTAATCAGTGATATTTATAGAAAATAATTTGTTTTGGCAAAAATAGTGCCATTGTCTCAGATTATTTGGAGAGAGAACAAATTTGTGGCCCCGTATGGTGGGTTAAGGGCATCCACCAAAAAGGTAGAGGGACGTCTTGGCAGTCTGCATAAGTAATACCGAGCACGATCTCAGCAGACGACATAAGTACCGGGCTGCACTAATTGCTTGTGCTGATGGCCTGCAGAATGCAGAGGTACAAAGATGGATATCGGGCTAATCAACTGTGTAGCAATAATAATGGTAGAGCAATAACTCCACTAATCCGAATCCTGAAAACAACCTAGCGATTCTCAATTCAGTAGGGGCCAATCATATCATCGAGCGTGTAGCTCCACTTGGGCAAGCCACAGCCGCAAAAATAGGTAGTAGATCGGGATTCTGTTGGAACCACGCAAGTCACAACTCGTCCTAATGCGGCATCAAGCGGATGAGCTCCCTTATCCGGGTCATGGTTGGTAGGAGAGGCAACCACGCGATTCAGGTTCAACATTACATGAACCAGGGATTTTTCGCTCTGCTTTTCCTGGCCTGGGATTATCCATTCCACTTAACGTCTGATGGATTTAATGGCTTCTTAGCCGCACTCCATCGCAATAAATGCAGTCGTACCTCTGGTAGATACCTTATTCATAATTTAGAACACCCAACGATTGGCTATCAAATCTTGCGTAATCCTGATCTCATGCTTGTGTCCTGTTTAATTGGCTGTGAGAGGCTCGGTGACGATGTCGCATCCGGAAGCGAATCATGACAGAACCTTGTGTTACGGAATAGGCCGACTCGTAACCTGGAACTGGATGTGTTGGCCGTTTTTCCCCTCCTCTATCCCTGGTTTCATTATTAGTCTCTAGCATCCATTGTTGTTCAATGACCATGTCACTTTGAGACGCTTTGAGACATCAAGATAGTAAACATTAGCAATATTTTTCAAACAACTTGCGTCGAAACATATCCGAAGCATGATAAATACTGAGTGATAAGGCTGTTATCAGAAGCCGATAGCTATATAAGGTACTGCAGGTTACTCCCTCTTTTATTCAGACGTACATGCAAGGAATGGATTGCAGTGGTTTATGGTCAGACGAGAAGCAGTTTTGCTCTGTAGCATTGCCACCTTCTATTATTACTGCTAGGTAGCGACCTTTGTTTGCTGATGTCTTTTTTTGGTGGTCAAAAGTAGTCCGAGTTCTCGGTTTCCATGGCTGATCCACAGATAGTGCCAAGGTGCAACGTCCTGATTGGTCGGTTATTCTATGCTAGCACTGAATCCGAAGCCGAAACAAACGACTTTTGGAGTCACTAAGTAGCTACTAGCCTTAGGCCTTCACTAGTCTAGTTTTTTCTACAGTTACGTATCCTGCATCCTCAGGCCCCCCAAAACCGGGAACAAACAAAAGGACCCGAACGCCTTCCCGGGCTCCTTATCTTCTTTTCTTGCTGCCTTCTTGCATATAATTCTCTTTTCATCGCAAAATTGGCGCCCACCTTGCTGCAAGTGCTATTCGTCAAACAACTTGCCTGACGCCTACCAGTTGCTAATCATAGCATCGCATCTCGCATCATCTCAGCCTACTGCTGAATCAGGCAATCTTCTGCACTTCATTCCATCTCAATTCTCCTCCCCATCCTTCACCCATTGCGAGGTCGCTCAAGTCCGTACATAATCATCATGAACCGCTTAATTCGCTTGCTTTTTGTCTCTTTGGCTGCGTCATCAGCTATCGCAGCTCCAGCTCCCGAGCGGTCCGAGCCAGTGCCGGCGGTTAGAGAGGATACCTTCTCTGAGTACCTCCACAACATCAATGAAAACTCGATTCACAAAGCTCTGCATCTGATAGAGCGATTTCGCCATGGCGTCTTCCCCACTGACAGAGACGCTATTGATGCCATCCAGAGAGAGGATCGGTCACTGGCAGCACATCTGAACCTCGCAAGAGATGTCAGCAGCAACGCCACTACGTCTTCGACCCAGCCGCCTTCGACTACTACTCAGCAGACCACTTCGGAAACGACTACCACCACCGAATCACATACAACGACTTCCAACCCATCCAACACCACTCCTACTACTACTCCGACGCAGCCTTCTACTACAACCACCACAAGCGAGACCACGACGTCGACTKCTCAGACCACTCCTGCACCCACCACGGCTAGTGCCACTACTACCACGTCGACTACCACCTCGCAAACCGGCACAACTCTGACAACTACGTCCTCCACAACCGAGGGTTCAACCACCAGCAAGCATTCCACCACCCGTACCCCCTACACGTCGACCTACAAAAGTACCACCACTCTCCCCAATGGCCAGCAAAGCACCGTCACAGCTGTGACGGTCGTCTACCCCACGGGGGACAGCACCACCCAAGGCGCTGCTACAACTACCGGTCCGGCCCCCGGCCTGCAAACCGGCAATGCTGCATCCATCACCGGGCTTCAGAAGGAGCTGCTCGTCATGCTTGGAGGCGCTGCGGCCGTGGCCATGGCTCTCTAGACTGCCGGACAAGTTGGCAGTGTCACCTTGAACCCAATATTACCCTATTAAGCCGAATATCCTGTTTTTTGTGGTTGTGCTCACAGTTTGCGTTTTATTGCATCTGATGGCGTTTTCTTGTTTCGACTTTACTCACGACATGACTCCGACCTTTTACGATCCTTTGCATGGTCTCTGGCGTCCGACTGTTGTCTCTCTTTTCGAGTATCTGGTCCATATGGTTATACCGGCGGGTTATTCTTGTTAATACCTTGTTTTTTTTAGCGTATCATGTCTCTCCTTATCATTGCCAGGATATGGTAATCCTGTCTTGTCCATAAGCATGCATATTTGCAAAGCAGTTGCGCCTGAAGATGGGCGTCTCATCCACTTCGATAGTTGATATCTGTGAATAATTACAGCTTCTCGAGGAAACTCCTTCCACTCTCTCTAGACATGTAGACAAGCATCGAAAGAAAAAACAGGTATATGCAACTGCAGATCCGTCGGGTATGTGAATGTATATACGTAACAGATATCTTGACCGCTGTTCAAAAATTCATCAAGAAATGTCGGGTATTCTCCCCTCATCGCCCCCTTCGAGCGTTTCGACTCGACTCACCGACTAACAGTCCCCTGGCCCTGCCACCTCTCCTCCTCAGTCCAATATCGAACGATACTCTCCCACGCCGGGATATCACCGTCACGCAACAGCGCCGCCACATCGACGTTCAGCGGCGAATCCGGCCGCGGGTCAGTGAGCAACTGGTGGATGGCCGTTAACGTTGTCGAGAGTGTGTAGACGGGGCTCCAGTGCTCGGTCGTCAGGAGCGTGAGACATATCTCGCCCGTTGTGAAGGAGATATTGGGGTGGGAGATGCGAGTTGTGAAGTGGATCTTGGGCGGCGCGAGGGGGTAGTTCGGTGGGATAGTGATCTTGAGGCCCCAGAGGCCGCCTGAAATAGCCGTATGCGTTAGTACGGTTGAACCAGATATTAAGATGACGTTATGTGGAAGGGAAGGTATGCGGTTGTGGATTGGGAGGTAAATAGTGTCGGTCGGCGGATGGCGACCGGCGCCTGAATTGAGTAACTCACCTTCGTACGGTGTGCCTTTGACGCCCTTCAGGACTGCTTCCCAGTGTAATAGATCATCTTCATCTACTGGACCTAGATGGAGCAAGGCCTCGTTCGGGGATTTGGTGTAGTCTTTCAGTTCGCGGAGCAGGCGTTGCGTCGTCGAGTTTGACGCCATAGCAGGCAGTTCAAGAATGTGGGAGCCGCGGGCGCAATCGATGATCAACGAGGTCAGGGGTTTGAAGTGCCTGCTTCGGGGAGGATGTAGCTCCCGACCGTGACTCTATAATTGAAGTAAATGAAGGAAGGCGTGAGGAGTTTGAAGCAGCTCTCGAAGTGATTATTCGCCCAAAACGTCGATAGGATACTTGCACCGAGGTTCAGCTGGCAGTGGCCGTGGGTCTTCCCCATGTCACTGAAGAGTTCCGCGGTCTGGGCTTCCGTGGTCGGGGAAACCATGTGTAAGCAGCTAAGCACCAATTGCTAAAATTTCGCCCCTTTGTATGGGGATCTTCACATTCAATATTCATATGAAGCTCTTATCCACGAGAAAACATAATCAACTTCATATACAAAGATAGACAATCAATAATGCGTACTTCGCGCGCGTCCAAAGAGACGGCAAATTTTCTGCAGGCTCTCTCGCCTCCTACGCGACGCCAAACGCGTAGTTCATCGAGGACAAATGTCCTTCAGCGCTTTGCTTTCACTGCCGGCGCAAATGGCCATGCTGAGACTGCGCCTACAATGACGGAAGCACAGTTTCAGCAGAATGACGGTGACGATACTTCCTCGCTCTCATCAGCTGATACCGTGGACATCGAGGATATCTTGGAACCCCCTCTGAAAAAAAGAAAGAGTAGCCCGACCAGCGCTTCCACTAAGAGAACGACACGAGCACCTGGTAGGACCGTCACAAAAGGCGAGGCCCTCAAGGTGGAGCCTACGAAACCAAAATCACGTCGTGCACCAGCCCGCAAGATCAAGGGCGATGATGGTTCAATCAAGATAGAACCGCCATCGAACTGGGAGACCATCTATTCCATGGTCAAGAAAATGCGGGAGAACAACCCGACAGCTCCTGTGGATACCATGGGCTGCGCGGAACTCTATTGGCGATCATCGTCTCCCAGAGACAAACGATTCCAGACACTTATTGCATTGATGTTATCGTCCCAGACCAAGGACACAGTGACAGCCGTGGCTATGCAGCGGTTACACACCGAGCTGGGGGACGGAAGAGCCCCAGCAGAAGATCCCATAGTTAAGAAAGAAGAGCAAGAAGATATTGACCTCAAGTCATCGCAGCCTCTGAGAGATAGCACTTTGAATCTCGAGAACATCCTGGCAGTCTCTCCTGAGAAACTCAACGAGCTAATCAGGACAGTTGGCTTCCATAACAACAAAACCAAGTATATCAAGGCAGCGGCTGAGATACTCCGAGATCAGTACAACTCAGATATACCCTCGACCGCCGAGGAGCTCATGAAGCTGCCCGGCGTGGGGCCAAAGATGGCATATCTCTGCATGAGTGCTGCCTGGGGGAAGGACGAAGGAATCGGGGTTGATGTGCACGTTCACCGTATCACGAATCTTTGGGGTTGGCACAAAACCAAGACACCGGAGGAGACACGCATGGCATTAGAGTCCTGGCTCCCTAGGGATAAATGGCATGAAATCAACAAGTTGCTTGTGGGCTTAGGACAGACAGTTTGCCTACCTGTTGGCCGGAGGTGTGGTGAGTGCGATCTTGCTGGGACGAAGTTGTGCAAGAGCGAAGTCAGAGGACTTCTCTCAAAGAAGAGCGCAGGAGTGAAGCTCAAGGATGAAGTTATGAAGGATGATGACTCGGTGTCTGGAGGGGCAAAGGTCAAGGTAGAGGGGGTGTGAAGTGCCCTGGTAGTGAATGCCCCAGGCATTGAATGCGAGCCTAGAATGGCCCCGTGATAGCGCGTCCCGGTACCGGGTGCAGTGTTTACATGTTTGGTCAAAGGAATCACTTCACTTAGCATCTTTCCTTCTTCTCCATCACGTTCATAGAGAGCATATGCCGCTTTTCGCTACTCTTATGTGATCTCCTTTATCTGCTTATTTCATCCCATTGTTTCCATGACGGCGGATAATTAGTCTTACACTCCCTGGCCTTCGAGACGCGGAGCATCCTTCAGCCTGCCGATCGTCATGGGTAAGTTATTGTCTGCAATTCACTCGGAGCCTTCTACCCTTCCTAGATCGACTTCTGACCACTGCAGACGAGTCTCTCCTTCAGCGTCATCGCAACGGATCCCTGGTGGGACGGCTCGATCCTGATGAAGAGTCCTTCTTTGCGTTATTCGAGTCGTTGAGTACGGTCAAATCATCACCTGAAAACCAAGGGTCTAGCTCCAGGGACGGAGGTAGGGAGAACGACACCACAAGCATGTCCGCTTCGAAGAAGGCTGGCAAGTCCCTGTGTCAACTTCCAGAAAAAGCCAAGCTTCGGATTCTGGAGTACATAGGACTAGTACGGCCTTGTTTGATCGATATAACGGCCGAGGCACACAGAGTCAAACAGGCCGCTGACCACACATGCGACACGCGTAATCTTTTTCATACACGTGGAAATTGGGCCACCCGCGCTGGCCGACTCTGTGATCATCCACGGCTGCCGACAGAAGTGCTCATGGTTTGTCGCGAGTTCCGGGAGGACCTGGGTGCCCTGTTCTGGGCGCACAACCGCTTTAGTTTCGTACTTACCAATCTGAACGACTGGGATTGCTTCTTTACTGCCATCGATTGGGCCGCGGAAGACGTGGGATATTTGCATATCGAAATGCGTACCTGGGACAATCGTTTCATCAAGCCTGGCGGTCAGCGCAATCTTCTGCGGCTGTGGTCTCGTTTCTGCCGCTATGCCGCTCAGCAAATGGTCAATCTCAGATATTTCAGTCTTAAGTGCAGAGTCAAGGACATGGCAGTGGCCCTCAAGATAATGTCTGCTATGGACCCGTTCCCTGCCCTCTCTCAGTGTGCTTTTCATTTCAGTCACACCCCAGAGGAGGATATACGTCCCGTCGTTAAGGGAAATGCCCTGAGATTGACTGGCAATCTCGGAGAAAATCGTACCTTTCCGTACTTTGATCTGCCTAAAGAAGTGCAACTGATAATACTTGAATTCCTGTTGGTGAACCAGTTCGACCCCTACCTGCCACCTGGGGGCCGGGTATCAGGCATCGTATCGTTCCTAGATCGCAAGTCTCTGCGTGTAAATGAGTCTCACCCTCTCACCTGCTGCGGCACCTGCTCTCCGCTCCAGGCAGCGTGCTTCTGTCCTGCCCGTCAGACGGCGTACTCGACCACTTGCTCCTGTTTTTCGTCGCCTGTAAGGTACTTCCTTGTTAGTCGAGCGTTCTATGAAGATGCACGCCGGATCTTCTTTACCATGAATCGCTTCGCCTTTGTGGAGGAAGACCCCGATCTCATGATGGGCTTCATGAACAGCATTCCAACCTCGTCTTTCATGTTGATCCGCCATCTGGTCTTCAAATTCCCTGCGATGCATCGACACCCCGCAAAGCCTAGCCACAAGCCCCACGAAGACTCTGCCATGGTGTCTTGGTCAGTGCTACGCCGCTTCATACGGGAGCATTTTGAACTTTCACGCCTCTCCCTCACCATCGTGGACTTGGGTACCAGGTCATCTAGTTGGCGCAATGCAGCCCCACATCGGAACAAGTACGTGAGGAAGTTGCTTGAAGCTTTTCAGGATCTGCGAGGACTTCGGGAGTTTCGCGTATTTCTCGAAGATGATCAATCCTATGAGCTGACTGCGGAGCGACTTGTTATGGGGCGTGCGGTTGCAAGAAGGCCTTTGGACTTCAAATTCCCATTTGTCGAAAATGGACATTAAGAACGGCTTGTCTTCGATTTCTTGACTGGGCCTACTAAAGATTAGGGCGGAGAATCTCAAAAGCTCGGAATATCGTCCTTAATTTGGTCATATTTTCTCATTCTTGCTGCCATTTGAGCGATGTATCCAGGCCGGCGAGGTTAGATATGTCTTATCGATTTGATTTGAAAGTAAAGGAAAATTCAATATTGTGGCCAAAATCTCTTCCACTCTTAACATATCGATGAATTCATTTGTAAACAAGGAATCCAAACCTTTGAGGTGTAACAAAAATGGGGTTTCCTGTGAAAGTTTGTGTGCAAACTGACGTGAGGTGAGTCAAAGACTAAAATAAAGAAAGAAGAAGTGATTGCGTTTTCTGGAAGTGAAGATTCATGGTCCAGATTTCACACGAAATGAAACTGATATCTTCCGTTATTACTATCAGGCTCTCAATTACTGTCCAGCACCACCACCTCAGCCTCGGCCTCCCCAATACTTTCCACTGCAAGCATATCACCAGCATTCACTCCGGTAACAAATGCACCATCGCCTTCTTCTAAGACAGCGTCTTCCCTTCCGTCTAGCCTGATCTTTGCTTTGCCCTGTTTAGTCATGGGCAGATGGATATATACATTCCTCTTCTTCTTCGAGCTGACTACATCTCCTGCGCCAACATTCCATTTGAACGTTGTGTTCGGTGCGATTATTCCAGCTCCCATGAGAAAGTCGGCGTGGATGGGAATCGTGTCCAAAATTTTGGGACGAGCAGCCTCTTCGTCTGCGGGGGTTGCATCTGGCCCTGCTGCCAACGGCGACAGAATCGGAACGAAGGCCTTCCGTTTAGCTTCTTCGCTGAACGACATCGTGTGATACTGCGGTTTCAGCCCGTACTTCCAGGGCAGGACCCAGATTTGAAGGAAATGCACTGGTTTGCTCGATTCGTTCTGTTCAGAGTGTGCAATTCCTGAAGTCGCGTTAGCATCTACACCTCGGAAAATCATAATGCATCAGAAGCAAGTTCTTACCAGTTCCTCCAGTCGTGAATTGCACATCGCCCCTTCGCATACGGTAGAATTGCTTGCCCTCCGCGCCTTCCGCTCCCTTCTTGACCATGCTGTCTCGGTGTGTCAGCTCGCCGCTGAGAATGTAGCTGAAGATCTCCGCATCCCGGTGCGGATGTAGTGGGAATCCATTCCGAGCAGCGACGCGGTCTTCGTTCAGCACTCTCAAGCAACCGAAGTTGAGAAAACGGTGGTCGGAGTAGTCCGCGAAGCTGAAGGTGTGGTATGTTTTCAGCCAGCCGCCGTGCTCGGCGTATCCGCGCTCACTGGAGCGACGGAGTGCTATTTTGACGTGGCTGAGAGGTTTTGACATGATGAACTGTTGTCTCCGAGTCTTCAATCGGTGTTGTAGATGGACTTTGGCTATCGCAGCGAACGGTTGGTTGGCGAAATGAAGCGACCACTCAATGAATTGTATCAATGTTTGATCAAAGATATTTCTCTTGTGATAGTCTCTGATTTTTGAGAAAAGGGGAAAAATAAAAGAGATTGTTTAACTCTTTATATATCCTCGGGGTGTGGCGTCATTGAGCATACTTTGGATAGAGTTAAGCTTTATCAGCATGAGATAAGGCCTGACAAACAGCTCCAGAAGCCGGACCAGAATTTGAAGTGGGTACCGTCATTCTCAAAGAATAAGCCACAACGTAGTAGAAGAGCCTGAATCATTAGTCAAGTAGTATTAATGAATTGCCGATATTGAATCAGCAATGACTCTCTTGCTTATTCTTTTTATTTGCTGAAAGAGCAATTGTATTTCTAAGGCACGAAAGATCTCGTCACGTGGTGGGGGTAGCCCCATCAGTCAAGGGAGACGGATCACTCAAATTATATAGGATAGCTAACCCTAATACTCCTCATTCAGCTTTCTAAATCAGTGGAAATTATTCTAAAAGTGAGAAGTCAATGCAATATCACAAGCGCTATATATACTTACATTTATATTTTGATCTGACTTGATTACATTATTAACACTATTCTTGTCTACAATATCTCTCTTAGTATGCTTAGAGCATACTTCATGGGCGAAGTAAAAATACATTATATATAGCCAGAAACAAGGGTCGATTCATGTTTAAATGACCACATCTCTTCCTGGTCTTTCAAAAATAGCTGCCTCTGAGAATTATTATTACATTCGTGCTTACGGTTCCGACATATAAAATCTCGGAATGAAAATCTATATCTTGCATCTCCATCTAGTCATTATATATGATTATTCTATCATCGACAATCCACCAAGCGATAATGCCATGCTCTGGTAGCTTCTGCTGTCCAGCTATGTCTACGTCATCCTCAGGGCCAGGTATGTCACTTCGGATGTCCGTAATGCAATCTCGTCCATCGACGACACCGTTTTCGACGTACATAGGCTTTGATGACTCTTGAGTGAGATCATAATCGCAGCGCACTTGTCCAATTGACTCAATATAGAGACCTTCCATAACAGACGCAATTTCTCCTCGTTCATCATGTTGGCATTTATAGACAGGTCTGGTTGCATCAACAAACCTTCTCAAATCTTCAGAAGTAGGTTTCTTGGAGGGCTCGTAGCTATCCTGTAAAACGCTGTAGCATGTTGCAAGGAACCAGACGGATGGATACGGCGATCGAGAACAGCGCGCGCATGGACTCCCACAACCAGGGACAGTAAGCAGATTTTGATTTAGGTCTGTCAATCATGTTAGACGTGCACAGGGTATGAGAAACAGGAGGACGCACCAAGGATATGTGACCCAACAACTGCACCTTGTCTGCACAGCACGCATAGAGACTGTCCAATATAGATGTCTTGCACAGAAATCATTGCTGGTATATGTATCTGAAGTACGGCGGAAATCAGCGTCTCATTAAGAGAAGCGATATGTGCCGTCTGAAGCGTTTAACAGTAACGGTGGCTCGCGCTCATTGTACAATGATCGACGGCCCCGTAGAACGGGAAACGCTCCAAAATAAAATCAAGAGCCTTAGCCTTGCACCTACAACCCAGTTTTACGAGTACCAACACCGGCCATCCATAGTACGTTAGTGCCTGGCATATGTGAGGGATGGAGAACGTACACAATGGCAATTATACAACAATGACTAAGCCAGATCATGAGTGTTTCCCCCTATCGCATGCACGTGACAACGCACATGCTCCGGATATAGCTAGATCTTATCTCCGACCACTTCCAAAGCTCTCAATGCGAGGTCAGTTGATAACCCTCTACAGGCGCCATTACCGCAAAACGCGTCTGTGTTCGACATATCTAATAATGCTCTGGTGCCCTTATGAAGCTTCTATCTCATGACGTTCTAGGAATTCGAGTTCTTCCTTCCCACTATGTCTCCTGCACCGATCCAGATACCCCGCTTCGCACAAGCTCAGTTGCAGCTACTTCTTCAGGAGCATGAAGCTGAAATTTCCTCCTCCTCGCTAGCCAGCACGGCAGCCTCAGTCTCACCTTCGACGCGTCGAACTCTACAAGCAACAGGCTATGCGCTGACGGGAATTGTGTTGTCACAATGCCGAACCGGACTGGGAGGGCGCGTTGTCGGCGAGTTCACTGCCGATGCAGCTATATCGTCGAGCAAATCCACGACGAACAAGGGCGGAGATGACAAAGCTGGAGCTGACGGCGAACCGAGGCTTGGTGCGCACGGAATCCGAGTCGGGGATATTGTCCGCGTGAACGACACAAGCGGGTCGGGAAGCAAAAAGCTTTCGAAGGACAAAGGCAAAGCAGGTGGGAAAGATGCAGTTGAAGCATCCAAGGGTCCGGAAGGGGTTGTTACAAGGGTTGGAGAGAAAAGTATATGGATTGCGTTTGGACAAAGAGGTGGTGGTGGCCGATCCAAGGAGGACGACGAAGCCATTGAGGAGCTCTGGGGAAAGAAACTATGGCTGTACGTTCTCTATCGCTCAATGCAACATGGCTCATTGACCTTTGATACTGCCTTCTATACTAAGGGTAGCAATCTGTTCGTATCCGACTTATGCTAATGGCCGACCGCAGCATAAAACTTGCAAACGACGTGACGTACCGACGGTATGTGGGCTGCCTCCCCCGTGGCCCTTGCTGAAAATGAGTTTGCGGCATTGAATGGCTTATGTTTCTAGTATGAACCAAACCATGGAGAAAATGGGTAAAATGACGGAGTCGGAATACTCACATTTCATGCGAGTTGCCTTTGGCCATACGGCTCCAATGCAACCAGACCATGACGCCATTGGCCCGATTGAGTTCGTCGATCCAACTCTAAATGATTCACAGAAAGAAGCTATACGGTTTGCCTTAGCGTCCCGGGATGTGGCTCTCATCCACGGGCCTCCCGGGACAGGCAAGACTCACACTTTGATTGAGCTGATTCTTCAAATGGTCAAACGAAAGCTCCGCGTACTTGTTTGCGGACCGTCGAATATCTCCGTCGACAATATCGTGGAAAGACTAGCTCCCAAAAAAGTACCAGTTGTACGCATAGGCCATCCCGCTCGTTTGCTGCCATCGGTCCTTGAGCATTCCCTCGAAGTACTCACTCATACGTCAGAAGCGGCCGCTATCGTCAAAGATGTGAGGAAGGAGATTGACGAAAAACAAGCTAGTATTCGCAAAACCAGGACCGGTCGGGAGAGGCGCGCAATTTATGATGATCTGAAAGAGCTCCGTCGAGAGTTTCGCGAGCGAGAGTCAAAATGTGTGGACAACCTTGTTCGCGAAAGCAATGTCGTCGTTGCCACACTCCATGGGGCTGGCGGTCACCAACTGAAGAATCAGAAGTTCGACGTAGTCGTTATTGATGAAGCAAGTCAAGCTCTGGAGGCTCAGTGCTGGATACCCTTATTGTCAGCGTCTAAAGTGGTCCTTGCGGGAGATCACTTGCAGCTTCCCCCTACCGTCAAGTCTTCCGTTGAGAAATCAAAGAGCGCAAAGAAGAGAGGGAAATCAGATCCGAATGACGCTTCAGTCAGTTCTGCAGAAATCATTGGCGATGTTTCTCTGGAGACAACCTTGTTTGACCGACTTCTTTCGTTGCATGGACCAAGCATCAAGAGGATGCTAACCACGCAGTATCGGATGCATGAAAAGATTATGCAGTTCCCCTCCAACGAGCTATACGAATCTAAACTTATTGCCGCGGAGTCCGTGAAGTCACGCCTTCTTAAAGATTTGCCCTACGAGGTCGAAGAGACTGATGACACAAGAGAGCCAGTCGTATTTTGGGATACGCAGGGGGGCGACTTTCCTGAGAAGACTGAAGATGACGAGGTAGGGAAAAAGGAAGCATTGCTTGGCGAAAGCAAGAGCAACGAAATGGAAGCTTTGGTCGTCGCAAAGCACGTGCAAAACCTCATACAGGCCGGCGTGAAGCCTGAAGATATTGCCTGTATTACTCCGTACAACGGTCAGCTTGCCCTGCTTTCTGCCATGCTCCGAGAAAAGTACCCGGGTCTTGAGCTCGGAAGTGTGGATGGTTTCCAAGGCCGTGAGAAGGAGGCCGTGGTGGTTAGTCTTGTTCGTAGTAATTCCGAGCACGAAGTGGGGTTTCTGGCGGAGAAGCGGCGTTTGAACGGTATGTCCTGGTGTCTCCTCCCTTTCTCTCATTCTTGATTGGACCTTCCATCTTTACTTTTTGCTAATGTGCATGCATTCTATGTCTTTTAGTCGCCATGACTCGTCCTAAACGGCATCTATGCATATGTGGTGATTCGGAGACAATCAGCAAGTGAGTGCGCCGCAATCATCAGATCTTGTTTTCAAGAAACTGCATTCGCGTCTGTCAGCTTTGCGGACGAGTCCCGGCAGCCTGCTAACGTGAAATGTTTGCCATGCAGAGGAAGTGCCTTTCTCAAGCGCTGGATGGGCTTTCTTGAAGAACATGCGGATCTGCGTTACCCAGACGCAGGGGAACTATTGTAAAGGAAGGCGAGTCTTGAAGATGATAGACAGTTGCTCTTGAGACAAGACGTTGCGATGATCAGGTTATTGACACCAAGCCGCGTAGTGCCCTGAAAGACGAGTGTAAACAGCCACTTGCTCCCAACAAACCGATCCAGTTGGACCAGGCTTTGAGCGACACTTCTTCTACTGCTTGCCTTACACTAATGCCGCACGGTCTCGTCGTTTGTCGAGACCCTACAATAAACCGATGCAATTTATTCTCAGACCGCAGATCCTCGTGCGTCTGAGCGCAGCATTCCCCGCAACCTGTGGCTGTTCACCTAGATCTGTACCATTTGACTGGTCAGAATAGCTTCGACTAGATGCAAGGTTTTTGGGAAGTCTATATGCCTTCAGTCATGTTCGTGTGGCTGTGTACATCACCACGGACCGACGAGGCAGGGATTATCACAGCTAGAAAGGTTGACGAGCAATTTGAGAGCAAGGCCAGTCTATTGCCCGCTAAGAATCCCACGTTAGGTCGTATAACTACGTGGTTATCAATGTTGTTGAGATCATCAATTGCTTATGCCAGAGCTGTAGATACCATGTGCTATTAAGCATTCAATGGAGAGCCCAGACTCCAAGAAGCACATGGCACTAACTGTTTATCAGCTAGGCGACTCCTTAGGCCCACTTCGTACAGTCCCTACTCCCTAGCGCATGCGCTCATTCTGCAGATAAGCCGTGTCAAACGGAGTCGTTGTTCGAGATTCTGGACATGAAAGTGGAATATCTTTCATTATTATTATCCATTATTCAGTAGTCAACCCTCGCAATTCGCGGGTACCTAGAAGGGAATTCTAAATCCGAGCACCCACTTGGCGTGTCTCAGCACCTCTCACCGTCTCACAGTTGCCGTCTTACAGACTGATGCTCAAACTCAGAGCTCATGTTCCACGCACTATTTACCTTGGAAGTACGCCATCTTGTCATTACAGGTTCTGGTTGACTTTGCGGGTTGTTCGATGTCCAACTCTTTGACCAACGAGCCTTCTCTACAAGGATGATGGCAGCTCGGACTGACAACATTTATCTTGCACACAGATGATTCGCAGCACAGACCACGAGGAGTTCCAGTCCAGAATAATCCAGAAGCCCACGATCCTCAACTTTGACCGGGATTGAGATTCAAGCGACTTTCCACCCCCTGACAGAACTGAAACTGCTTTGAACGCACCGACGCGGCGCTAACAGCCGCCGCCCAAACATCCGTTCTTTTTGTTGGCCCACTTCGTCGTCAGGCCCGAATAGTCTTGCCAACCAGCCGTTCTCTTTGGATAGTCCTTGATGGTGTGTGTCCGACGACGATGCTGTCAGGAATTAGTAGTCTGGATCTTGACTCCGTGTCTCCATACAACCGGCCTACCTTGTTACCTGCTTAGCTTCCATTTCTCAGAGCCTTCCTCATTGAACAACGTATCGGTCTCACAATTCTTGGTCTGGCCATTACTTCGCTCACTTCGGTAATGTGTGTCTGATTCTCTAACACTTCTTACAGTCGATCTCCTGTTGAACGCCCCCCTCGCACTCAGCTTGACTCCAGTCGCTCGCTGCTGTTGCCCGTGTTCTTACTTCTTGTTCCCGATTTAGGTCAAACGCATCGGTCATGCATCCAGAACAAGCATCGTGTCTTTCGCTGCATTCCGTTGTCCACGATTATTACCACAATTAGGCAATGCTATCTGATCCCATGCGTAGATACGCCCCGGTTGTCCTCGGATTGTGTGGAGATATCGACGTCTGACAAGACCATCTCAACCACGATCACCTACCACTGGTAGCTTACTACATTGTCGCTCATTAGATCATCTGGTCACTCTCTCTTTTATTGCGATCTTCGATTGATTTGAAGCTTGTCGTCATCTCATCTGCATTCCTTGTCTCTCGTTGTGGCTCGATTATGGCCTCTTAAGATATCGAACCAATTGCTTACACATTCTTGATACAGCTCTAACGTAAGATCGATCTTGATAAAACCCCTCGACCGGCTCACTGCGCTAGCTTTGGTTGTGTTTGCGGAATACTTTTGCTAACTGCCCCTCTTGCTTCCAGGCGCACTCTCCTTGTTTCGACCCATCGATTCCCTATATTCGAGATACCCCATATGTTCTCAGTCGATATATTCTCACACACTCGCTTCAAATAAGCTTCAAGCTATACTCTTCTGCTTGGCAAAGTCCAGCTACACACATACCTTTTGAATACCCGAGGTCAACAGCAAAGTATATATCATATCCCTACAGTTGCCGATCCCAGTCGCGCTTTGGCTGAATATACTGTACACGAGCATTTGAGTGAAGATGGCGGGCTCCAGCTTCAGTACAGAAAGGAGCTCCGTGCAGCTTCGCCGTCGCTCCACTCTAGCACAGGAGTCATATGAGGGAACCGCTTTACCACAGGTGACATCCCAGCAAATGGTATTGAGTCCCCGTGGACGTCTACGCGGCTCGAAGTCTCCTATTTTAGCGAGCACATTGCGCGGAAATTCCCAAGCGGCAGCGCCCTTGCACCATACCCAAGACACATTGACAAGAGGGCCCAATACGCATCGGCGAACTGGAAGCACTCTGAAGACGGTCATGCGAAAGATCTTCACCCGCAAAAGGCGGAGTGATACTGATGATCTCGACGATGCAGTCTCGGATTCTCCCACCCCACAATCGCAAACACCTCGGTCAAACAAGGATATGGCCGATATTTCCTTCTTAGAGCTCCAGAGTCCAAAGTCACAGACGCCAAAGTCGAGCAGCCCTCTTCAACGGGAAGCTGGTGGCTCGCGAGGGCTCGAAGCTAGCTCTCATAGCTTTGCACCGGCATTTTCTTGTCGCCGGCGAGCTACACTACCGAGTTTGATTCTGTCCGAAGAGGGCCGAAACGCGATGGAGACAGTTTTCAACACGGATAGTGCAAGATGGAGCCGGGACAGGAGCTCTCATGCGAATAGTGACCAGACGGACCTGCTGCGCCGCGAGGATCTTCGAGTAAAGAGGCGATCACGAAGTGCTGATGCGCTTCGCACGATGGCACGAGATCACCGAATGTCCCCTATTCAGTGGCGACGACGCAGCACCGAAACAACCTACGTCAATTCATCAGCTTTTGATATGGCCTCGGACAGCGAAATGTCCGACCGGCCTCCTACAAGAACGACAGTTGCCAGTGCACCCGAAACTCCCAGCGAGCGCCCAGTTGAGGGGCCTCAGAAGCAGGAGGAACTGGAGGGTATAACGCCGAACATTGGAGATCTCGTAAACTGCATGCAGCATAGCGAAGACATCTCTCTTGAACAGAGACTCACAACATTAGAGGTCAAGTTAATCGACCTTGAGTTTGCCATTGCTCGAATGCAGAATGTGCGCGCTGAACCGTCGCCGGCCGAGGCACCGAAAGAGAATAAAGTCTCTACCCCCACCAAGAGCAGACGACATGTCCGCAACAAGTCATCGGCTCATACTCAGTCCGCCGGGACTGGGGAGCCGAAGAGCGACGAATTCACGCCGGACGGTCGGCCAATCAGCACCGCTACAATACGACCTAGCAATCTGCAACCATCGCGGACTTTGCAACCACCATCTTCGACCTCGTTAAGCGACTTCAGCGGGATATCAGTCGAGCAGTACAGCGCACTTGTCATGCTCCTGAGAAGGGAGCAGACCGCGCGAAGAAATCTGGAGACTCAAGTTACCAGTCTCAAGGAAGACATCGAGCAACTGCAACGGCTTGCTAACAGCTCGATATCCGTGGGCACGATGTACCCAATCCGCAGCCGAGAGTCTGAGGAGCTTGATCGTATGAGGAAAGCATTGGTTCGCTGCCCAGCCGACGCCATGACATGCTCGGAAAAGATCGGCTCGTCGTACGAGAGTGAATCCGAAGTGGAGAGTCCTAGGGGCTCTTCCAGGGACGACGTGTTCGGACGACCGAAGTGGCAGTATAACCGGCGCATCGAGGTTGCTCGTATGATATGAACCGTAAAAAGGGATCATCCCTCAGCCGCCGTTGTCGCCCAGCTGATAAGCATGGTTTGATCTTTGCAACAGGCTCTGCGCAGCAGAGGCGATGATCCTCTTGGAAAATATCCGTCAATCCTTCCACCTGTTTCATTCTTCTTCCAAACGACTGCGCTATTTGAAAGCTCCCATGCGAGATTTTACCCCAGTCGCAATTCACCTTCTTTCATGACTGATCCAATTTGTTGAACAACTGGTTCTTGATCGCGTTGGCCGTGGTAGGGCCCGTCATGACCCTCTTGATTTTTTCATTCACCACTCCATGATGAAAGTTTGTCCTATGATACCACCTTCTTGATCCATAACTCCTTCCATACATAGATATCAATAGATTGAAGAACCTACACAGGCCCCAGAACTAAAACCTGAACTGTAAATCTGGCCCGTAAGACAAGAGATACAAGAATCAACACTATTACTACGTACTATCTACAAGAACCATAAAAAATTAACTACAGACGCTAAATGCCTATGTCTCAACCCAGCGCAATCCTTTAGCCAGTTCCCCCCGACTCACTCCGTCTTCTTATCTGAAACCTCATCCTGCTCGGGCTTAAACTCAAGCCATTTCCCAAACAACCACGACGACCGACAAAGGACAGACCCCACCGCAAACCCGATATACGCACCCGTCAGAATAGTAATGGGAAAAGCCTGCCACGGACGATCCCTAACCACCCATCAGTATCAACACAACCCCATTCCAGTAACCAATAGATGAAGAAGAGAACTCACCAATCCAACGGAATCGGCGCAGCCCCAAACCACGCCCCGAGGGCCGTCCCTAGCGCACCGCCCCAAACGGCATCAGCGGGGCGCGCAAACGCCCACACCTCGCGCCACACGGCGCCATCGACACCATGCACGTAGATCAGCGCCGTTGAGGCCAGGAGCGCCATGTGCGCGGCGCAGAGGACCGTCTCGACATTGTGTGTTGTCAGGGGGGCGCCGAAGAGAACGAGGAGA